TTTATAATTGTTACTTTTCTCTTTGGTGTTTGAACGTGTTTGTTTCCCGTCACGTGTGACGTCACTTGTTATAAATAACCCGCCAGATGTCTCTGTGTTATTCTTACGTAAGATGACGTGTTTCTCCTCTGGTGACGTCACTTTTCAGCCCCTCCCCATTAAAACCCCTCTGTTTTTAAAGGTTTGAATTTTTTCAGATGAATTCAACAGTTTGTAAAGTTTGACACAATACACACATTATGCAAAGACAGATTTTCAAAGTAAAGCTCTAAACTACTATTCTCCAGTAATATCAACGGTGTGCTTATACAATTAGAACAATAACAGCAATTTTAATCTAATAACATTTAGAGGAACAATTCTGAGATAATCCTTCACACATGTCCATGTTCTCTTTATTTTGCACTCGGGGAGACTTTGACTCAACATTTAACCCTAACCCATTTTTTGTCATTTATTATTGTTTTGTTAAGCCAAAAAAATGTTTGTTTTGTTTTTTTATGTTGTCATTAATTGATAATTGTTTTACTTGTTTTTTTTAAGACTGAATATCATTTGACCTATTTGGTTAAAATTATGATTTCATTGTATTAGTATTGAAGTTTACTTACTCTAAACTACTGAGTCGTCTGTGACATGTACTGTAGAGCGACCATCAAATTCACAACAGTATAGTCAAGAGGCTAAGCAGGGGAAGAACTTTACCTGCCGGACGCGCTGGCTGTTCAATATGACTTCAGTCCAACAGACAGTGGAAAGTTCCCATTGTCCAATAAACATGGAGTCAGTGCATCTGCTTGATATCATGTGGTCAGCAAAGTAGGACTCCCCCCCTCCCCCTCTCCTTCCTTCATTCACCGGTGAACAGCTGATTTTACCTGCTGACGTACCACCACGTGACTCAGATCCCCGTATGTGACCATAGCAACAAACATTACAAACAATACTAGCTTTATGTTCATGTCATTCTGACGTCATTATATAATCATCTGTAATGGATGTAGGGATGAATCATTTACTCTCTTCTACTGATTTACTCGTTGCATTTTAAAAGTATAATTTAAAAAATATTTAATTAATTTAAGTGTATTATTTTGTTCTTTGGACGTCAGGCTTTTATTTTGAAGGCGCTTGTATCTACTTCCGTCCCGCATGTGCTGCCTGTTGCGGGTTGACTTGCAGGTTTCCGTCTTCCTGGTGTTCGGAGCGGAAACGTTTTGTTTTTCATCTCAGTTCATTCTTGACTTGTATCAGCGGACGTGTTTGAACACTTTCGTCCAAACCATCGTGAACGTGTTGCCTGTGATGTTGGAGCTTTTATTTTGAAGGAAGCAGCGGGGCCGGTAAACATGAGACCGGACATCGCAGTTTTTACGATCCTCGCGGTTCTCACGGTTTTTTCCGAAGCGGCTCGATCCGCAGACACCGAGCAACAGGAAGAAGGTGAGTCCGAACTTCCGCTTTCATCCGGAAACTTCAGTTTATATATTGAAAACACGGAGTTTGACTCCAGGTCATCGAGAGCGACTGTAAAGTCATCCTGTCAGAAATCGTTACATTAGCTTTCAACTGTAGCTTCTAAATAAACTTAACGTAATAAGTCAACATGTGACTATAAGCTATAATCGTGTGAACTCTCTCTCTCTCTCTCTATATATATATATATATACACACACACAATATATATTATATTATGATTTACTAAAGAACATTTCCACCTGTAAAGTTTTCAATCCAGACGTTATCAGTGGCTGAATTCAATCTAAGTATGAACCGGATCGTCTGATTGGTTCCTGAGTGCCGGTGGTGATGTCGCCATGTGTTTCCTCCGCAGAGTCTCTCAGGTCGATGCTGGACGACTTCGACGTGCTGCCTCTCTCTAGCCTGCAGACGCACTCTGTCCGCCGCCGAGATGTCCAAACTCAGAGTCACGTGGAGAAAACGCTCAGCTTCTACGCCCTGAAGAGGTCCTCGTCTCACTCAGAGCAACGGCAGGTTTCACCAGGATGATGCTGACTCAGCCTGTGTGTGTGTGTGTGTGTGTGTGTGTGTGTGTGTGTGTGTGTGTGTGCGCAGGACGTTCAGACTGTACCTGAGGACGAACGACGAGCTATTCACTGATGATTTCAGAGTCGTGGTTGTGGACGAGGACGGAGAGCAGAGTTACCAGATCAACAGACATAACTTCTTCACTGGACATGTCATCGGTACGTCTGAGGCGCTCACACACCGCTAATGATGGCTCACTATTGTGTGTGTGTGTGTGTGTGTTGAAATAAAAGTGTGAGGCTTGTGTTTCCAGGAGAAGAGAATTCTCGAGTTCAGGCTCATATTGACGACCACGAGTTCTCCGCTCACATCCTGACTGATGAGACAGAATTCAACATCGAGGTACGACACAGACGCCGACCATCCGACAGCGAAAAACAAAAGCTCCTACATGTTCTCTCTCTCTTCTTTGTCCAGCCTCTGTGGAGGTTCACGTCAGCGCCCCCTGATGGTCGCCTGCTGATCTACCGCTCAGAGGACATCAGAAACCTGAGCCGCCTGCAGCATCCTTCAGTCTGCGGCTACGTGACCTCCGACCCCAGCCACCTCCTCCCTGACAGCGTTCAAACAGTCATGTTGACGGAGCGCGAGGAAGACGGTCCGCACATCTGTTTGCCTCCATTTGTTTTACAATGAGATTTGTTTAAAAGATTTTCTTTGTCTGGACTTTTTTCACTGAAGGTTTGAGGTTCGATTTTTCGTAACCAGCTGCTGCTCGTCACATAAACAGCCGATTTTAATGCCCCGCCATTTTTAACGATTGATTTAAAACAGATTTTAAGCTCCAGGGAGTGTCTGTAACTAACATTTTATTAGCGTGTTACTAACATGTTTTTTCTCCTCACCTGCTCAGAATCCGTGTTCAGAGGGAAACGTCAGGTCCACGACCACAAGAGAAACACGTGTCCTCTGCTGCTGGTGGCAGACCATCGCTTCTTCAAACACATGGGCCGAGAGGAGGAGAGCACCACGCTCAACTACCTGGTCAGACCTGACACATGGACACACCTCTACACATGGACACACCTCTACACATGGACACACCTCTACACATG